GCAATGGGTAGATGAAGCAGATGATATCATCCATATAGACAGTAAAATAAAGAAGAGATTTCTTGGTGGCCGGTGTCCTAATTGCTGGTGGCAGTACCGAAGAGGCAAGGAGTTAGAAAAGGAGACTCAGCATATTGAAGCTCTACTAGGAAGATGTGAGTCCAGTATAATAGCTGGTCGAGCAAATATACCGGACATAAAACACCTTCCTTTACAAGATTTTCTTCATTTTAACAGCAGAGAGTCAATGTTCCAAGATCTGTTGAAGGCATTACAAGATAATAATTGCAATATGATTGGATTGCAAGGGACAGGGGGAGCGGGCAAAACTTCAATGGCAAAAGAAGTGGCTCATAAGCTAAAAGAATCTAACTTGATTGACAAATTCATCTTTCTCGTTGTCTCCAAGCCTCCTGATTTCAAAAAGACTTGTGAAGAACTTGCAAAAGGTTTAGATTTGAATTTAGAGGAAGTGAAGGAAGAAGAACTCTCAAGTAAAATATTGTCTAGAATCACTAAAATGGGCAAAAAGTTGCTTATAATACTAGATGATGTATGGGAAAAGTTTGATTTGAGAGAAAACTTGGGGATTCCATCTGACCACAAGGGTTGTACTTTATTGATAACCACACGTAGTGCAAATGTTTGTATGGAAATGGAATGCCGAATGATTGAACTACAGATGTTAAACAAGAAAGAGGCATTGAAACTTTTTGAAGCACATGCCAAATTAAATAATTCCCCTCGTGGTTTGAAGGGTATGCCAGAAAAAATTGTGGAGCATTGTGGAGGCATACCAGTTGTAATTGTAGCAATAGCTAGAGCATTAAAAAACAAACCAGCAACAATTTGGAAGGATGCTTTGAAATCCTTGGAAGATCGTGCTGTTGATCAACATTTGGAAGTGGCTTATAAATGCTTGAAGTTAAGCTACGATAACTTGAAAAATCAAAAGTCCAAAGAGCTTTTTCTTATATCTTCTTTGTTCCCAGAAGATTACCGAGTTCCTATACAAGTTTTAACCAAAATTGGTATCGGGTTGGGTTCTTTTGAGGAAAATGATAGATACCATTTAGCAAGAAGCAAAGTGCATGAAGCTATAATGGAACTCATGGATTTCTCTTTATTGTTGCATGGAGGGGATGAATGTGTAGAGATGCATGATTCAATTCGTGAAGTGGCTTTGTGGATAGGAGATAGAGATATTCAATCTCTCATAGATTTGAAAATGCCTATGAAAAAGAGTTTGAGATATTTGCTTTGGAAGAATGATGATTTTATGACCAACTTTGACGGAAGTAAATTGGAGGTTCTATTAATATTTTTAGATGGTTCAAAGGAGTTCAAGGTCTCGAGTGCATTCTTTAAAGAGATGATGAGGCTCAAAGTTTTGGTTTTATTTAATAATTATTATTACGAAAGAACTCCAGCTCTATTGTTGATGAATTCATTCCAATCATTGAAGGACATTCGAACACTCATTCTCAAGAATTTGGATTTAGGTGACATCTCTATCTTAGGAAACTTGTTGAGTCTTGGGACTATTTGGTTTTATGATTGTTCAATCAATGAATTACCAAGTGAATTTTTGAAACTAAACAAGTTGAGATCATTGGAGGTAGAGAGATGTGAAATTGAAAAGAATAATCCTTTTGAAGTGATGGAGAGTTGCTCACAGCTAGAAGAGTTAAAATTTGTTGATAATAGGTGTGACAATGAAGAAAAAGATGAAATTTCTCAAAATGGATCTCCTCTTACATTACACAGATATTGTATATCTTCTCAGGATCTTTCAGGTTATCTTGAGAAGTATGACTTCATGTCGAGATGCCTTCAAATGGATGATCAATTAAGTCATTTAGTCTCAAAGGCAACATTTAATCAACTTGCCAGAAGAGCTGAACTTCTTATCTTGGAAGGGGAGGATGCGCAAAGAATATGGGAAAATCTTATCCTTGATATTGTTGCAATAGATGAACGAGACTTGATGAATGATTTGATCGTTCTTAATTTGAGCTCATGTCCTACCATGGAGTGCCTCATAGATTCTGAAGATCATGATTATTCTGATATGGCTCCTTTCTGTAATCTGGGTGAACTACATCTCTCTAAAGTAGGTGTTGAAGATTTATGTCGCGGTCCTCCACCATCTGGCTTTTTGAAGCAATTAGAGATTATGAAGTTGAATGAGTGTCCTAGACTGAAGAGTATATTATCTAATGGCAACTACAACTTACGTCATCTTAAGTCCATGAAACTAGAAGATTGTCCAATGTTGGCGTCAGTTTTCCAACTATCCACTGCACGAAGTCTGATAAAGTTGGAAAAATTAACAATTAGGAACTGTAGTGCATTAAAATGCATTATAGTGAGTGAAGACAGTAACAGTAACCAAAAGAGTTACCATGACTCATTGTTCCCAGCATTGAAAAAACTTCAAATTGAATGTTGAGTATATATGAATGTGAGCAGCTGGAATACATATTTGATAAGTTTGAAGAGGGCAAAGATGCTTTGCTCCCTTCACTGGAAGAGCTGGAACTTTCTGGAGTACCAACTTTCATTGGAATGTGCAAAGAACATCACCAACTCGTGAGTTCATCAATGCAGAAGCCATCACCTCCACATTCAAGACATAATTGTTCCAACAACATGAATCGAAGTCCTGCCAGACGTGCTTTCTCCTGGGTTCAAGCATGTTGTTCTCCCAATAAATCGAGGCCCGCCAATGAAGAGACCAAAATTACTGTTTCTGAACAAAGACAGCATGACCACACAATCCCACTGGTATGCTACACTTGCCTCACTATTTTTGTTCAAATATCTCTCTTAAATAGATGGTTTACTATTGTGGCATTAAATATCTATTGCGATCCGTGTTGTGATATACTATTCAAAAGTGAAGTACTAGCTTTTTAGGGTTGATATTAACATTTGTCACCAAAAACGACCTTGAACAAAATAACAAGATGTAAAATAAAATTACATGAGTGTTCGAATTAACCTCTGAAATTTATTATAACAACTTCTCCTAAAACCATCAGGATAACTAGCAACATTGTGAATCAATTATTTAAAATAGCGCATAAAAACGTTATTTGGCACCATATTCATTTGAAAAAAAAAAACTGAAAATTTTAGTTCTCAAAGTTTCAATTAATTTGATGTTTTAATTACCATTAATTTGATCTTAACGATTTCAAAATGTCAAATGAAATATCTTTCAAGGTTCGAGTACCTTACTGAAATCTATGGATCAATGAAGTTCCTCCTAAATGGACTGTGATCTTCGTTAACTACCACTTCTCATGCTAATATTAATAATTATAACACCGCATTCAATTTATTTAACATTTTGAAGTAATTTACTTTTATGTTTAATTATTTGACTTTCTTTTTTTGGATCAGAAGAAGTATAAAATCATGAAAACAAAATAGAACGACTTAAAGTTTAAACGCAAAGAAAACAACAGAAACCCAAAAAACTATGAAAAAGCATAAACAAGAATGCGAAAAACATCCAAAGACAACACTGAACTGGTTCACTCCCATAGCAGTAGCTGAGAACAAACAGATCTGGTTCACTCCCATAGCAGTAGCTGAGAACAAACAGATCTGGTTCACTCCTATAACAGCAGCTGAGAACAAACCGTGAGAGAGAAGGGGAGATGATGAAAAATCCATCCAACAACACACTCCCTTAATGTACTTGAAGCTGCACACCAAAACAATCACAACACCAGGCAAGCCAAGAAGAGCACCAGTTAACAATCCATCTAGAGGAGGAATGAACAAACAAAAGAAGAAATTACTGGGATTGGGGGCATAAAACCCAACCATAGAGGCCACAAACCCATTACAAAACTCCTTAGCTCATCCAAAGAAGCTAAGTTGCAACAGAGAGCGACAAATTCCATAGGGAATGCTCTCATGGAAGAAGCTTCACCAATCACAGCCAAGCTGAGCAAAATCAACAGAGAGAATCAGAAGCCTTTTTCCTCTAGATTTCCAGTCAACCAGTGACCAATCTTCAAAGCCACAGCAGAAGCAAACCTCCCTCTTAAACCAGAACCATCAATCCCAGCAACTACTACCTCTAAATTCTTAAAATAAAAAACAGAACAAAGACATCCAGGCGGCACCCATCTTAAATCATCCTTAGTTTTTAGTGAAGCCCTTTTGTTTGCCACAAAGAAACTAAACTTCTGGACCTTCCCTTCAGTAAAGATTGCAGCAAAGTAAACAAATGAACTGCCAATAAATCCCAAGCTAATGGCATCTTCCTCCAACATATCCTTGTCTTGAAAGGAAAACAAACTAAAGCCCCCTATCACCTTTGAAAAAACTATGGCAAGCACTATCTCAGATAAAACCAATGGTTTAAACCAGCAGCAACAATCATTTTGAACAGAAACCAAGGTTTTCCTCATATTCCAAAACCACCAAGAAACATAAATGAGACCAACTAGTACAACACATACTTCATAACTAGCAATCAAACCATACGAACAAAAGGACTTTACAAAGAGGCTATTCGAAGAAAGAGTACCAGATCTTGTTACCTCACAAGGCCAAGGCAAAAGAATCCCACGGAATAGACTTATATCAAGGTGACAGTGCAAGATTAGCTTTAATTTGAGAATCATCTATCCATCGCTCATAGATCTATTTTGAAGAAACAACTGATTTGGTCGCAACACATAGAACTCTCCTTCACCCATTCTCCTTTGAGCAAAATAGCTTTAAGATTTCACCATCTCTGGTGCTATTCCCATTGATTCCCAATGTGCGCTCGGCCATTCCGTTTTCCTCTTCGCCATTCTTGTTGAGGCTCTTAATCGTGCTAACCACTGATCTCCCACCTTCAAATCCCTAACCAGCAAAACTTCAGAACTTGCCCTCATCTTCAGATCTTGCAAAATCTCTAAAAACTCACGCACACACCAACGCACACACACTAGACTCACTCTCCCTAGGCCGCCGCCGGGGAGAGGATGCCGATGGAAGCCGCTCACCAAGGGACGGTTTGTGTTCTCACAAGAGGAGAGAATTCGCTCTCACAAGAGGAGAGATTTTTTTAACTGTTTAATTATTTGACTTACACATTAGAATAATTTAATTATTTATTTAATGAAACTGTATGGACGAAATTAATATTAGTTAAGACATGTGGATCAAATTGAACATACTTTACTGCTTATTTATTTTGGAATAAGAATAATTTATTTTATTTATTATTTTTCATGTTAAAAATATTTTGATTTGATATGTACTATATTTAAAATTTACGCATTGTTTGTATTGGAATAAGAATGATTTACTGCAAATATTTTACGGATTCCAATGTTTGTTTGGACAGTTGAATTTGAATACCACACCGACAATAAACATTTTAAATTAAACAGTTTTATTGTGTTTGAAGCATTTTACTCAAAATTTTGTCAAGAGAGTGCAGAATATATAGAATGCGGTAATAGAACAAATCAAGCGGTCGTCTAGTTTTGTATAACAGTATATTTGAAAAAGAAATGAAACGATATTATTATTTTGATTCATTGTTACGCTGTGATATTATTTGTTGTATATTACAGCATAAAAATTATTGCGTCTTTAAATTTTATTGATTGTTTGCTTTTGGAATAAGAGTGATTTATTTTAGCGATTGATGTTTTGTCTAAAATATTTTTATTTATATGTAGTAATGTATATTTAAATTTTATATATTGTTTGTTTGGAATAAGATTGATTTATTTTCTTGGCGATAAATATAACTTTCTCGAGATTTGTGTTTATAGGAATTAGATCCATCCACATGTGGAGTTTTTCTTTGCCACGCAGCTCAAAGCCTTTTGGTGCAATCATTGAAGAATGTAAGGAAAATAAAACTATGGGAATGTGGGAACATATTATCACTGTCAACTTTATCCATTGCGGCCTCAACAATTTCGTTGGAAAGTTTGTCAATCAGGGGATGTCATAAACTGAAGTGCATCACAACACACGAGGGAGATGCTCAAGTTGATAATAAGAATTATTGTTCCATTTTCCCAACACTAGAGAATCTGGAAATTTGGAAGTGCGAGGAGTTGGAATTTTTATTTCAATCATCAATATCTGATGGTCTTCAAAAATTGAAGTCTTTGACTATCACGAAAGTTCCTGAACTAAAATATGTTGTTGGGAACTACCAGCAAGATCAGCAAAACGAAGGGCTGCGTTTCGAGCTCCCTGCATTGGAGACCCTCTCCATCACACATGCGCCGAAGATCAAAAGCATTTGCGCCAAGAATTATAAGATGGATCTGCCATCTCTTCAGAATGTCGAGCTGTGCAATTGCATCATTAAATCTTTGGATGATTATGACATGATGAATCTGACAACTACAGAGGTACACTCTCTTTAACTTTTGTACATATGATTTGTTCTGTTTTGATAATGTTAATTACAAATGAAGTATTATTCGATCAAAATGAAATTATTTATGATCGTTTTTATATGTTGAGCTTTTTTTTCCCACTCAATTCAGCTTTTAGATTAATTGTTTATTAACAAATATTGAGTTAATTGTTGCCTAACAAGGGTGATGTTAATATATGGTTACTAATAATAAAGACTTCGAATAAAAAAAGGTTATGAATGGATTATGCAAATTAACACAAAAAATTACGTCATTTAGCTCCATATATATATTTGGGAAAATGAAACTTTTATTACTCAAAGTTTCAATCCGTTTGGTGTTTTAATTAGCATTAATTTGGTCTTCATGATTTCAAAATGTCAGATAAAATATATCTCAAGCTTTGAGTGCCTTATTGACATCAATACAGTTTCAGTTAATGTGCTGTGTTCTTTTTTTAACCACTCGTATACTTAGGTATGCGGATAATTTAATTATTTATTTAATGAAATTGCATGGACCAAGTTAATATTAAATAAAACATGTGGGTCAAATTGCAAATCTTTTACAGATTCCGATCTTTATCCATATGTCGGACAGAATAACACACACAAAGGCGATAGTCATTTGAAATAGAAAAGATTTTTTTTTCCATTATAAACATTTAAGGTAATTTTTCATTGACAAATTATCAAATGAAATTGTATGGACCAAGTTAATATTAAATAAAACTTTGGGGTCAAATTGCAAATCTTTTACAAATTCCGATCTTTATCCATATGTCGGACAGAATAACACACACGAAGGCGATAGTCATTTGAAATAGAAAAGATTTTTTTTTTTCCATTATAAACATTTTACATAATTTTTCATTGACAAATTATCAAAATGGAATGGGGCGTAAGGGAGCTAATTAAGAGTTGAATTAGGTTTTTATTTGCTCTGATATTATTTGTTGCCTATGATATGACTACATAAAAAATTTACACGCTCAAATTTTCCTGATTGTTTTTTTCAATAAATCTTCACTGATTGTTTGTTTTGGAATAAGAATGATTTATTTTACTAACTGTTGTTATGGTAACAATATCTTTGATTTATTATGTATTATTATATATTCCAATCTTGCATATTGTTTATTTTAAAATAAGAGTGATTTATTCTGTTGGTGATAGATATAACTTTTTAAAGATTTGTGTTTGTAGGAATTAAATTCATCTACAGATGGAGTTCCTCCTTTCCATGCATCTCAAATCTTATTATGTATTAATGTATATTTAAATTTTATATATTGTTTGTTTTGGAATAAGAATGATTTCTTTTCTTGATTTATTACGCATTGATTTGTGTTTATAGGAACTAGATCCATCCACATGTGGAGTTTTTCTTGGCCACGCAGCTCAAAGCCTTTTGGTGCAATCATTGAAGAATGTTACGACAATAGAACTTACAAATTGTGGAAATACAAATTGTGGAAACATAATATCAATGTCAACTTTATCCATTGCGGCCTCAACAATTTCGTTGGGAAGTTTGTCAATAAGGGGATATCATAAACTGAAGTGCATCACAACACACGAGGGAGATGCTCAAGTTGATAATAAGAATTATTGTTCCATTTTTCCAACACTAGAGAATCTGGTAATTTGGGATTGCGAGGAGTTGGAATTTGTATTTCAATCATCAATATCTGGTGGTCTTCAAAAATTGAAGTCTTTGACTATCACGGAAGTTCCTGAACTGAAATATGTTGTTGGGAACTACCAGCAAGATCAGCAAAACGAAGGGCTGCGTTTCGAGCTCCCTGCATTGGAGACCCTCTCCATCACACATGCGCCGAAGATCAAAAGCATTTGCGCCAGGAATTATAAGATGGATCTGGCATCTCTTCAGAAAGTTGAGCTGTGGGATTGCGGCATTAAATCTTTGGATGATTATGACATGATGAATCTGACAACTACAGAGGTACACTCTCTTTAACTTTTGTACATATGATTTGTTCTGTTTTGATAATGTTAATTACAAACGAAGTATTATTCGATCAAAATGAAATTATTTGTGACTGTCTTTATATGTTGAGCTTTTTTCTCCTGCTCAATTCAGCTTTTAGATTAATTGTTTATTAACAAATATTGAATTAATTGTTGCCTAACAAGGGTGATGTTAACATATGGTTACTAATAAAGACTTCGAATAAAAAAAGGTTACGAATTGATTATGCAACTTAACACATAAAATTATGTCATTTAGCTCCATATATATTTAGGAAATGAAATTTTTATTACTCAAAGTTTCAACTAGTTTGATGTTTGAAGTAGCATTAATTCGGTCTTAATGATTTCAAAATGTCAGATGAAATATATCTCAAGCTTTGAGTGCCTTATTGACATCAACGTAACATAATTTCACTTAATGTGCTGTGTTCTGTTATTAACTACTACTACTTACGTATGATGATAATTTAATTATTTATTTAATGAAACTGTATGGACCACCTTGATATTAAATAAAACATATGGGTCGAATTGCAAATCTTTTACAGATTCCAATCTTTATCTATATATATCGGACGCAATAAGACAAACACAGGCAATAATCATTTTAAATTGAAAAGATTTTTTTCCCCATTATAAGCATTTTATGTAATTTTTATTAACAAGTTATCAAATTGAATGGGGTGTAAGGCAGCTCATAAAGAGTTGAATTAAGTTTTTGTTTTCTTTGATATTATTTGTCGTATATGATATGACTACATAAAAAATTTACATACTCAAATCTTCACTGATTTTTTTTTTCCAATAAATCTTCCCTGATTGTTTGTTTTGGAATAAGAATAATTTATTTTACTAATTGTTGTTGTTAAAAATATCTTTGATTTTTTTGAGCAAAAAAAATATCATTGATTTATTATGTATTATTATATATTCCAATTTTGCATATTGCTTATTTTAAAATAAGAGTGATTTATTCTGTTGGTGATAGATATAACTTTTTAAAGATTTGTGTTTGTAGGAATTAAATTCATCTACAGATGGAGTTCCTCCTTTCCATGCATCTCAAATCTTATTATGTATTAATGTATATTTAAATTTTATATATTGTTTGTTTTGGAATAAGAATGATTTATTTTCTTGATTTATTATGCATTGATTTGTGTTTGTAGGAATTAGGTGCATCCACAGAAGGAGTTCCTCCTTTCCTTGTAGCTCAAAGCCTTTTGGTGCAATCATTGAAGAATGTTACGACAATAGAACTTACAAATTGTGGAAACATAATATCACTGTCAACTCTCTCCATTGCGGCCTCAACAATTTCGTTGGAAAGTTTGTCAATCAGTAAATGTCATAAACTGAAGTGCATCACAACACATGAGGGAGATGCTCAAGTTGATAATAAGAATTATTGTTCCATTTTCCCAACACTAGAGAATCTGTATATTCGGGATTGCAAGGCATTGGAATTTGTATTTCAATCATCAATATCTGGTGGTCTTCAAAAATTGAAGTCTTTGTATATTAGGGAAGTTCCTGAACTAAAATATGTTGTTGGGAACTACCAGCAAGATCAGCAAAACGAAGGCCTGCGTTTCGAGCTCCCTGCTTTGGAGAACTTCATCATTGAAAATGCGCCAAAGATGAACAGCGTTTGCGCCAAGAATTATAAGATGGATCTGTCATCTCTTCAGAATGTTGAGCTGTGGAGTGGCGACATTAAATCTTTCGATGATTCTGACATGGTGAATCTGACAACTACAGAGGTACACTCTCTTTAACTTTTGTACATATGATTTGTTCTGTTTTGATAATGTTAATTACAAATGAAGTATTATTCGATCAAAATGAAATTATTTATGACTGTCTTTATATGTTGAGCTTTTTTTTCCCGCTCAATTCAGCTTTTAGATTAATTGTTTATTAACAAATATTGAGTTAATTGTTGCCTAACAAGGGTGATGTTAATATATGGTTACTAATAAAGACTTCGAATAATTTACTCGTAAAATTACGTCATTTAGCTCCACATATATATATTTGGGAAAATGAAACTTTTATTACTTAAAGTTTCAATCCGTTTGGTGTTTTAATTAGCATTAATTTGGTCTTAATGATTTCAAAATGTCAGATAAAATATATCTCAAGCTGAGTGCCTTATTGACATCAATACAGTTTCAGTTAATGTGCTGTGTTCTTTTTTTAACCACTCGTATACTTAGGTATGTGGATAATTTAATTATTTATTTAGTGAAATTGTATGGACCAAGTTAATATTAAATAAAACATTTGGGTCAAATTGCAAATCTTTTACAGATTCCGATCTTTATCCACATGTCGGACAGAATAACACACAAAGGCGATAATCATTTGAAATAGAACAGATTTTTTTTTCCATTATAAACATTTTACATAACTTTTCATTATCAAATTATCAAATGGAATGGGGCGTAAGGGAGCTCATAAAGAGTTGAATTAGGCTTTTATTTGCTCTGATATTATTTGTTGCATATGATATGACTACACAAAAAATATACACGCTCAAATTTTCCTGATTGTTTTTTTCAATGAATCTTCACTGATTGTTTTGGAATAAGAATGACTTATTTTACTAACTGTTGTTATGTTAACAATATCTTTGATTTATTATGTATTATTATATATTCCAATCTTGCATATTGTTTATTTTAAAATAAGAGTGATTTATTCTGTTGGTGAAAGATATAACTTTTTAAAGATTTGTGTTTGTAGGAATTAAATTCATCTACAGGTAAGTTCCTCCTTTCCATGCATCTCAAATCTTGCTGGCGCAATCGTTGAAGAATGTTAGAATAGTATACCTATCGATGTCGGAACTTAATATCATTGTCAACTCTATCCCTTACCTCTACAATTTTGTTGGAAGGTTTGTCAATTATAAGATGTGATCAGCTGAAGTGCATTGTAGAAGATGAGGCAGATATTGGAACTCGCATGAACTACAATTATTCCATCTTTCCAAAGTTGAAATGGTTAGAAGTTTCAAACTGCAACGCATTGGAATATTTATTCCCATCACATGCTTTCAGATGCCCTGCATGTTTGGTGAGAAGCCTACCAATGTCGCAGAAGCTCAGTATATCAAAATGTGAAGAATTAGTTAACAATGTTGAAGAAGATTATGAAAAAAATGATGATGATCATCATCAGTGCCGTGAACCATGCTTTCCCAACTTAGAAAAAGTCTCTGTCATTGATTGTGACAAATTGAGCTACCTGTTCTCTATCCCTATCTCTGGTATCCTTCCAAAACTAAGATCTTTGAAGATAAGTAGAGCCAATGGACTTGAGCATGCACTGGTAAGACAAGGAGAGATGAAAGAGATGGCCATGAAGGATGATGTGCTTCCAAAACTAAGTAAATTGGAGCTCATAGATCTTCCCAACCTTTTATGGTATGAGATTGAATTTTCAAACTTTGAAAGGAGACGATAATACAAACTCGATGGTTGTCCCAAGTTTTCCTTTTATGGTATGCATTTAGAGAAGTATTTATTCTCTATAAAATTGAAAATTATTATATGAGTTTTACTATAACATTAAAAATCCTACTTTCAGAAATTTCAACTACCCAGCTTCAAGCGTGTCCTGAAACAACATGTTCTCAAGTTGAAGAAAAAGCAGAGAAGAACCTTTCTTCTCATCTCAATATTGAACAATCTTTAAATATGGGAGAAACAGCACAACAATCCCTCACGGAGGTATGATTTTGATTGCTAATGGCATCATTTTACTGCTTCTCCAATGGTCCCCCTCATGATTACGTGTATGCTTGATTATTTTAATTTTGTCGCAATGGTAAAAAAATTCTATCCTTTTTATGAGAAAAACAGAATTTGAAGATCATATTTAAAATGCTGAAAATACACCCGCGCGCGGGTACACACAAGTGTGGTGTATTCCAACTGCTTAATGAATTTGACATGAACTGAAAAAAAAAAGGAAAAAAAAAAACTTATAGCTTTGGACAGGGTATTGAAGAAACAATATATAATTTCATTGTGATAAGCCTGCTGTTTTTAAAAACACCAAGAGACATCATCATCATTTGATTGATTTTTTGTTACGTCATTTGATTCTAATTTTACGAGGTGGCAAACCTTTAAGAATTTATTTTAATTTTGAAATAAAAAAATTAGTAAATAACAATATTTTTTTTTTTACAAAGGAAATAAATAAAGTTACTGTCAAACCTTATTTAGGTTCACTAATTAAAAATGTTTAGCCATTTAAGAACCACTTATGATCCCTTAGAATCCCAGAAAGGCCAACAATTAAAAAATTTTTCCCCAAAACACTCTAGGTTCTATCACTAATGCTTTCCTATTATTAGGATAAGATTTTCTAAAATATTTAAAAATTTATAACTAATGCAATATAGCTCCAAAAATAGTGGTTCATGGCTATAACTCTAGCTCTTGAAAAAGCTTTATGCTCCAACTAATTCTTAGCTCCCCCTACCCCCAAAAAAAAAAATACTGTGCTACATTTAAAACTATTGGAGCCTTTAAATAATCAATGTTCATTTTTATCTGCCTTAAGCATGCAGGCTGAACAAGGCGGCTTTACAAATTTAATTTTGTGTCTAATATTCCCAAACTTAGGCTAGAGACTTGCTACTACACCAAGGTCTCTGCTAAGCTTATTATCATATTCGAATTTAACCAAAACTTGACTTCCGCTTACAAAAAGTATGCTATCCAAAACAGGGCTTTCAGACATGCCTTTGGTGTAGTTTGGGAATTTAAAACTTGTTACATGTTATATAACATATCAAAACTACATTTAAACCTCTCTGAGTCACAACTTTCAGTCCAAACAGGGGATAAGAACTATAGTTCAGAAGGCTAATGCTTTGATATTCCTATTGCCCATCTAATCACTATGTGGGAGCCACCAGACCCTTTACCTGTGCAGTTCATGATCATCCGTTTTAAAGTTTTGGACAGCTTTCCTTTACATTTTAAAATTTTCCCAGATTCATAAACTCCTCTTTTAAATACATTGAGGTTTAGACTTCATATTCAACCAAACCTAATTCTCTCTATTCCAATTACTTTGGCAGAGCAAGGGAAGAGGATAAAACTTGGTTTAACCACTTCACTTCATCCATATTTCACCTCGAAGCCTCTAGGTGCTTACAGTATTTTAGTTCCCAATTAAATATAAATTTAATACATAATCAAACATTAAATTAGTGGGAAAAATTCAGCTTCTGAATTCCAGATTTCAGCTCCCATAAGAGAAGTCACATAATAATAGTAACCCCACAAGCTTTAATCCATCATTTAAATATGATTTCTACAGCTTAATGAAAAGTCTAGGCCTGCATTGCAAAACAAACCTCCCTGTCCCTCACTTTACTGTCTAGAAACCAGATTTAAACCTCTCGTCTACTTGCAAAACAAATAGCCACTGCAAAAAACATTGATGGAACAAGGTTTAAGGTCCTTACCTTGGTCTAAATGTTTGGTTGCATGTGAGGGAAGAACTTTCCTTCTTCTTCGATCACTTGTTCGCCTCTGCTCAGCTCGCTCTCTCCCCAGCTCTCTCTCTCTCTCTCTCTCTCTCTCTCTCTGTGATGCTCTTCTTTTTTGGACTTAGTGCACCACATCCAATACTTTTCAAATTGGGCTATGCATTGGCCCAATTTCCTTTTTAGACTTGAGATAGTGAAATTGCCACTATCAGCACTAAAACTTTCCTAATAAATTCCACCAAAAATTGGTCCGGGACACATTATGAAGATTTTTTTTTTTAATTAGCTTCTCTAACTCCTAAAATAAGTTTTGTAAAATTTTCGGTCTAATGCTCAATTTTCAGAAAAATAGGCCCTTATATCCCATAAATTAGTTTTAAAATTATAAGTCATTTCTGGAAAATATAAACCTCTTCATAATATTTCTAAATTCTCAAAATAATATTTCATAATATTTTCCCCAATTTTCCTAGGCCTTAAATAATTTTAATAATTATTTTTTATTTCCTTAAATTCCCCTACAAAATAGACTTTTTCCAATAATTCATTTTTGAGACATTTAAATTTTAAATAATGTCCCTAAACCTCAAATATGCTTTCAAAATCTCTTCTCTATTTTTCGAGACTCCTCTCAAAATTTCGGGCTTTTTTTATAATTATAATTTTGTTCTATATTTTCTCTTATTTAATCTTTTGCCCCTAAGCTCACTATATTTTTCAACTTTTAGGTCAACTATCTTATTTAACCCATATTCAAAATTCAAATATTACAATTCTTACGAAATATTTTAGCTAATTCATTCATTCTTTTTCATGCAGAATAATTAGAATTGATTTAAGAAAGGTATCACCAAAAATAACATTAATTTTTTTATTTATAAATTTTTATTCTTTATTTATGTCTCTATCACACAATAATTTTCTTTCTTTGCTTTAAAATTGTCATATGAACTTTAACATATAATTTGAAGGGGATAAAATGGGAAAAAAAAATTCAGATCAAGTTGCTTGTATCCATTATATCAAGTTCTCCAATCATGTATTACCATGTGTTCTTTTTTGTTTCATGTGGATTTATAGCTAAATGTTAATATTTCAAAAGTAGGACACATAGTCATTTGTCATTGGAGAACTTAACACAATGAATATAAGGAACTTGATATGAGTATTATCCTTTAAAATGCCAACAAGAAACTCTTAACACACATAAATATGGTGTGTATTCCAAATTTTTTAATGAATTTGACATGAACTAATAAGCAAAGTTTTATCTGTAGTGCTGGCTATGCAGAAACAATATTGATGTTGATGAGCATCATATCTAAAATGTGTCAAAAGAACAATCATCATCATCATCTGAATCATTATTGTTATGCTGAATAATGAAGAAGAAAGGAATCCTAGTGTTAATGAATTCAACGTTTGAAACTTTTTTTTTATCTTCTGCTATACATGAAGCAACAAAGAATACTATTGAAGAAGGTCTAAGACCAAAGTTGCAAAAATAAAAAAATTTTAAGACTTATTTGTTAGACAATCTCTTTAAAGCTTAGTTTTATATATTGTGGTGTTGGTCTGGTTACAAAGAAAACAGCTACACTAATTTATCATCTTTGTTTTATATGACCACTGGTTTCCAACAGAAGGTGCCAGCTCATGCAAGTCCCAACCTCACTGTTCTTCCTATAAGAGATAACACTCACGCAAGTGCTAAAATATTTGAAGAGGAAGAGGAAGAAGAAGAGGAAGGTAAAATATTGATTTGTTAGTTTTGTATTAGAAAAATACTAGTTATTTATTTTATGGGTTTACAGACAGCTTGATAACATCCCGACGTTCCCGAAATGGCAAGAAAGTTAACAGTTCTTTACCAGAGAAAAAGCTTGAAAACTCTACTGATGGTACTTGCTGTTTTCTTTAAATGAAATCTTTAACTAATTTCTTCCTTTGATTTGATATAATAATCATTTTTTCATGGGTGACCCATGTGTGCCCCCAGAAACAAATGTTTCGAGCGAACAAACTTCAACAAGCCTTAACCAAACTCCTTCATCTATTATCCCCAAGCATTCTGATGGTAGGTTTCCTTCCTGTCTTCTTATATTGACACTTCATTTAATCATTGTAGTGTCAAACTTGCCAAAACTATATATCAAGACTACCTTATCAAGCAAAGACAGATGTTGCTATAAGAAGTACCATTGACCTTATAGAGGATTCTAGTCTATGCTCTAGTAATTCTACTCATTGCACATCTGATCTTTATTTTATTCAATTATTATTTTTAATTTCCATTCTAACATCACTTTATTAATTTAAGGGATATATCTAAAATGTTGAAACTACTAACTAGTGAGCCCCAATAATGTAGATTATGTTGAAGTTTGTGATAAGTCTCATCCGCATTCAAGCTCTTCATTTGAAGGTGTCGACGGCGGGGAAAACAAGGAAGCAGGTATGGTTCAAAATGAATCTATCTCGAATGTTGAAATAAGTAACCCAGCACAAAGGGAACAAGAGTCGTCACATTCTAAAGGTCATTAACCTCTTTCCTCTATTGTTGAAAATATAAAACATAAGTGAACTTGAATCTTCTTTCCTGTGATCCCTGTGAGTACTTCTCATTCAGCATTGTTGATTTCGTTATCTTCATTTTCTATGCGATGGTCTTTTTCTGGGCCAAATTCAAACAATAAATCAACTGACAGATTCACAACCAAGAAGAGCAATGCCAGCAACACTTTTTGTTAATATTTCCGAAGAAGAATCCTCAAAGGTAATACTATTGCTATTTCTTCATACATAAAGATTATAGGTTTTTCTTTATATTTCTATCTAGCTAGTTCTACTACTATTAGATAAGATTCATGTATTGTCATGCCCTATTATGATAAGTACTGAGTAACTGTCATAAAGGCATTTTTCGCATTTACATAGATTGAAACTCAAGATTTTGTATTTAAGAGACCTTAGTTTCTTCAACTAAGATCAACATCTGTTGGCATAAGATATAAAAATTTATTCTAGATAAAATGGAGTTATCCCACTTTCTTATTCACAGCTAAAATGAATTCTCATTCTGTCCACAAGGAAACTAAATTTGACATACAATCTAAAGAAACAAAAACAACTTAAAAAAGTCCATTGAGGATTGTATTTATGATGTTTTATCATCTCAAAAGAAAGCAACTTAAATATCTTTGGTGATATACAGATTGTTGAAGTAAGAGCTGAAGACGGTGCTTCAATATTAGAGACCCCACATCCAAGTTCCTTAACTTCTAAAAAGGTTTGCTTCTTCCAACAATTTTACAATTTAATATACTTGTTATTCCTATATTAATGATTATGAATGGCTTATTGTACAAGGAACCTATTCCCGTGAGTCCCAATCCCACCATTCTCCCTAGAAGCCCAGGTACAGCTGCCAAAATTTTTGAAGAGGAAGAGAAAGGTAAGATTTATAGCTCCTTTAGTTATTTATCTTGGGCCGAGACTTTTGATCATGGTATTTGTGGCTTTCTTAAAATATTTCTCGCTGTGATTTACTAACTATATATTTATATGCTTCATTGACTTGGTATAGGTGACCCCTTTGTGCCACCAGCGCCAATTGTTTCAAGTGAGCAGCAAGCTTACGAGACAACAAGTCCTAAACCATCAAAAGCTATAATGAGTCCTAATCAAACTCCCATGTGCACTCCCGCTGAGACTTCTTATGGTGAGTTTTTTTGTTGTATGATTTTACTAACTTACCTTTCACTTTATCATTTTGTAATTTTAGAAAGATGTCATATTCTAAATGTTTCATCCAGGAAGAAAGATCCAAGAGAATGTTGGAACCATTGACCAGCGTTTGCATGAAACTTTGAGTGCTATTCAAATTTCTAGTAAGTCTTGTGTCCTTACCATTACATGTTTGCATTTGTTATACTTGACTTGATTCCTTCATTGAATATGAGTAGTTTGATTCTCCAAGCTTGCTTTTATTTCAACTCACTTGCTGATTTGCTGGTTTTGGTAGGTCAACCTGTTGAATGTGGTTCATCACACATGGCCCCTTCTGTTTATGAAACCAATAATAATTTATTAAGTGTTCATGGGGTAAAAGAGATAGCTGATATGATGAAATTAGAGGGTGCTGAGCTGTTCATGCTAGCAGAAGCATTCCAGACTCATCCACAGCTTCATCTTTCTTCAGAGGATCGAAGCACTGAGTTGCTATGCTATTCCTATAGGGTGCTACTAAATATTTTGAACATTCTGGCCACTAGGAGCCCCTCCACAATCACTGAGGCAGACAAGATATTGTTGGCAAAGCATTTAAAGGATGCTTCTGTTCTGGGATTTGACAAGGATTGGCTTGAGTCAGTTAGGAACAGGGTTTCCAACTGTGATGCATCAGAACTCCATCGCATGCAACAAGCTTTGAAGGGTTTAGGCAATAAGCTCCGAGCCAATAAGATAGAGCTTGCAAATATTCGAGACCAGGAGGCGAAAGCTGCAAAATTGGTAGAAATGACTCAGAAAGAGTTGGAAGCCAAACATAAAGAATTAGAGGCAGCATATAAAGGGTTGGAAGCAGCTCAATCCCATTTTAATGTCGCACAACAAGAACATGCAAACATTAGAGCATGTTATTCTCAACTCTTAGAAGAATGCCAGGGAATTTCAGAACAACAGTATCAATACTCAGAAATTATTGCTGCCAAATTCAGGCCTTTCGGCTTCTAACATGGATGCCATGTGAACCTTCGTTATTGCTGTTTCAATTAAGGTCATTGTCGTACCTTTATTTCAAATAAAAAATAAAAGTAATACTCTCATGGACATTGTAGTATTACCGTACCTTTATTTTGCACAAGGATCGTGCATGACATTACAGACTTGTTGTACCTAAGGGTTATTTTCCTGTTAAGATCTTATATATCTGTGTTTGGTTTCTAGATGTGTTTATCATCACCCATTTGCTACTAGTTAAATTGAATATAGTGCATCAACTACATCTATGATAGGCATAATTAAGTACTTTGCTCGACACTGACAACTAATATGTTAACATCAGTGTCATGTATAATTGTCAAAGGGATGCTGCATCTCATTGTTTAAATTTTGGCTCTACGCATTTTCTAAGTACATGTTTGAATTTTTAACTCCAGACCTCTAACTGAATCTCATCCAACTTATCATTCAAGCTATCCTCGAGTGACAAAAAATTACCCAACTTATTCATGAATTTTGTTTGCAATTTTGACTTCAATAACATTTTAAACTGATTTATTTCAGAATTATCAAGGACATTTATTATAGATTTAAAATTTATTCCGCAAATGTTATTATTTAAATTTTATTCTTAACCTGAACAATTAGTTAGATAACTAGTATTTTTATGTCAATATCTCTAGCTATATGTTAATCAGTTGCACATGATTTGTCTTCAATTTATTTTATTATCCTAAAATATTTTGGTAGATATTTAGCAACATAATAAAGTTTAAAACTTTTTAAACAAATTTTAAGTAAATAAATAGTTTTTAATCACTTTCTGTTAATCAAGAAATCACCACATTGACTAAATAATTTACGACTTTTCACTGGCAAGTCAATGGTTTGAAATTTCAATTTAATGGGTAATGATTTTGCATTTAATTGAAAGCATATTTAGTTTTAACTTAATATCTATCAAAACTATATAATAATTCTGTTTTTGGGTAAAATTAGCTCCTAATTGATTTTTCCTACTTGCACAAAATTATTAGTTTCTGATCTATGAAATATCCAAGCGCAAGGATTAAGAAAGCAAGATGTTAAGCATAGAAACGACATACATAATATTATACAAGACCAGGCCAAGCCAGTCATGAAAACAAGATGACAACTCCGTGGGCAAATGATTAACAAGAGAAGAAGGAAGGAAGAAAATGATAAGAATAATAGATTACTTAATCAAGACTACTCTTATGATAAGAATAATAGATTACTTAATCAGAGACTACTCTCGGGTGAGATTGTGCAATCTCTTGAACACCCCCCCCAAAAAAAAAAAAACTCTATTCTGACCAAAATTTCACGAAAGCATCTACAAAAGCTCTGAAAATGGCAAAAATTGGATTTGTTTCTTGTCTCATCGAATGTTTAGGCGTCCCATCCCATGACTCTCTGCAGAGAAAGCATGTGGAAGTTAAGTTAGCCAAGGCAAAAGAACCTAAGCAGCAATAGCTCAAATCTAAGTGACATGGCATTTGAGATCAACACGGTACATTTGAGATGCATTTATCATATATACTTACAGATTGATTCTTTCTAAAGTTGGGTTGCTTTCCTGGGAGTTGCCACCAAGCTGACCATTAAACCTAAGCTCATTCATGTTCTCCTGGGTTTCTTCTTTAGTATTTGACTCCTTAGCAGAGGCGCGAGTGAGAATCTTGGCATGAGAGCCATCTGGAATTTTTGTCTGACAATGAATTTATCTATCAGAGAATTTATACCACATGAACTTCAAAAAAAAAAAAAAAGGCATCTGCGTGGCTCCCAGAACAGCTGGTGAAAAATGGCATTGTTCTGATTGTAGTATGCCAGCTTAACCACCACACGTTTACCAGAAGAAGGGGATTTATGTCCAAATAGAAGGATGAAAAAATTCAAAGCATAAAGATTTCAAATCTAAAAAGAGGATGAAAACTCGAGGAGGTAATACACATGGATAATTGCAATTAAAATTGGAAATCCTAGGTTTGCATAATTTCCCCACTATGGTAGGAACACTAGCTTCTTGTGCCGCAAACTGGAAAATTACATTCTACAGATACTTCAAGATTCCCAGAAATTAATGTAAGTCAAAAATAGTAAGCAGAAGGTCTAATTGGTCTCGGGTGAAAATAAAATGTTATCCCAACATGAATCAGCTTATCATCATGAAGACAATAATCTTGGCATAACCCATATCCAAACTTCTGAAACTAACAAAGACTCGTCTCTCCACGTTGAGCCCATCACAGGTGATCCAAAGTTTAAGAAGACTTGATACCAGTGCAAGAGTTCATCATTAACACCAATTTCAGAACAATGATTTTCTCATGACCTAGCAACCGAACATCACTCATATCTTAATGCGGAAATGACTTCAATGAGGAAGAAATGCATCTAACATTTTCTTCTTGAAAACTACACTAAGTGGCCCAGGCTTTATTTAGACTCTCCTTTCCTCTACCACCATCTCCTTAGCTCTCTCTCCTTCTCTCTGTTCTTTCTTCTCAGTCCAATATCTATATGCTGAAGAGTACTGGGTCTTTTGTATCTCTATTCTGACTCTCAACCCCCCCCCCTCACATTTTCTCCCATGGGGTTAGACCCACAACATCTAATGCAACCCCCCACCCCCAACATGGAGCAGGAACTTAGCTGCATATTGAATTTTGTCGGCTATTTAACATTTGTTTTGCAATCTCATGCAGAAAAGGAGGGGGGAATACTTTTAATTGACTTGCCGGTTGACATGGTGTTAGAGCCTCTATAACCAAATGAACAGAAGTTCAGCCCTTGCCATTCCTTTTAATTAAATTAAATTTTGGCACTACATGTGGAAGGCCTTTTTTCTATGCACATGCTTAGAGCGCAAGAGACTTTAAGGTCAGGGGCCTGTTAGATTTCATAACAGAACTATTCGCAAACTGCAACTCAATAGGGGGAAAAAAATTACAAGTGAATAAATGGATCTTCAACACAACAAAAAGTCTAGTCCCACTAGGTGGGGTACATTGATCTTTAACACAGTTATACATTATTTATTTTGACAACAGAAAGTGGTTACAATTTTTGACATATTTTAGTAGTATGCTGTTGCATAAATATAGAAAAATAAGGAAGAAGAGAAAAGAAGAGAGAGAAGAGAGGGAGACGAAAGAGAGGTGTATCAACTGAATAAAACTTTCAGATTAAGCATAGGATATTAATTACAGACTGCCAAATTTTTGACATATTTTAGTAGTATACTCTTACTTCTCTAACTGCCTAAACTTCCTAACAGCCATAACTATCTTTGACTATTCATATTTTCATATCTTTTACAGTTACACAACACATGCTCAATATCAATTTCAACGAGTGCTAAGAATACTGAAAAGGAGGAAAATCTTTGGGAAGATCAGATATGCAGAATATGCAATGAAAACATAGGCATATGCTATACAAATATGCTGATGCACCACAAAGCTGAACTTTAACAGTCAACATAATTTACTAGCTTAACGTATGAATCATGCAGACAACAGCACCAAGCATCCCTAAATCAAAAGTCAAAAGTGAATTAAATAATTCTTTCTAGTAAATAAAGCATTTAAGAAAGAACATAAACTCCACCTCAGTCCCCTTAATACAAGATTTAAATGAAAAATAGAACCCAGAGAATATTTAAGTGCATATCAATTTCAATGAGTACTAAGAATACTGAAAGAAGGAAAATCTTTGGGAAGATCAGATATGCAGAATATGCAATGAAAACATAGGCATATGCTATACAAATATGCTGATGCACCACAGAGCTTAACTTTAACAGTCAACATACTTTACTAGCTTAAGGTACCGAATCATGCAGACAACAGCACTAAGCATCCCTAAATCAAAAGTCAAAAGTGAATTAAATAATTCTTTCTAGTAAATAAACCATTTAAGAAGGAACATAAACTCCACCTCAGTCCCCAATCCCCATAACACAAGATTAAAATGAAAAATAGAACCCAGAGAATATTTAAGTGCATCTCATTGATCATAGTTTAACATTCTAAAAATATAGATAAACTAACCTTAGCACCAGATATGGTTTGACTTTGCTCAATGACTTCAGCAGTCAAAATATTGCTTTGATGAGGTGCTTTAACTTGAGGGTCAGCACATATTTCATTGTCATGGGCAATTTGTTCCTCAAGGGCTTCCTGCATTGTGCTTTTGACCAATGTATGTCCAAGATTTTTTTCTTCCTCGTCATTGCCAGAGGCATATGTATTTCCAAGGTCATCCACAGGCTTCTCATCAAGTAAATTAGAATTCTTCATTAACTCAACACTCTCTAGTTCTGACCTTTCCTTTCCTATATGGAGGCCCAAAATTTTTGTTTCATTTTCTGGAGAATTAATCATGTTTGTAACAGACCTTAATGGAAATGTCTCTACAACCACGTCAGCTGTGACTGGGCTTAAATTAGTTTCAGGCATTGCCAAATTTTGTGAGACATCCTCTGGGGTTGCCAAAGACTGACTGACTTGAAAGTCAGGGCTACTTGCTTCAACAGATTCCGTGTTCGTTCCATCTACCTGGCTTCCATGGACAAGATTTCCATTGCTAAATGCTTCAAGCAATTCCTGGCTTGTCTCATCAACTTGGTTACCACTAATTACATTTCCATTTCCATATGCTTCATTGAATTCCTTGTTACTTACATCCACATGGCTACCATTGAGCGCATTCCCATCGTCAGACAACTGACCCTCAACTATAGTATGCTGCTCAAAAAGCATTCTGTCACTTGTATCCAGAAGGTTGCTAGGATCATGATGATTTTCATTTGGAGATGCAGCAAGGTAAGTTTTAGGATCTACAGCAATTGAACCTAATAGATCTTGTTCCAAAACCTGGTGAGAGGGAGGCTCTTCTAAAGTGGACTTTGCAGGCCCCAACACTCTATTCTCTTGGATTATATCTCGTACAATCTCCCGTACTGTGTAGAAAGAACCACCAACTTCCTTATGGGTAAGATTAAGTGATGGGAAGCTTCCATTGTTAGACTCTTGGTACCTGACGCAATGTTTTCAGTCAGTGAAACTAAAGAGAGGCACTACATTCAATATGACACTGGCAAAAGGGCTTTGATTGAGAGTAAATTAAATGACAAGAATAATTTGGGAATCTTCTAAGAACTCAACCTCCCAGTATAAGAATCCACAGAGAGAGAAAGAGAGAGAACAAAAAGTTGCATAATATCAAATAACAGAAAATAAACTAAATACAATTCATCTGTATAGAAAAAGGTATTTATTAAAGATGAAAAACAAACCAATCAGATTAACAAGAGATTGATACTAAGATTTCAATCTATTGAGTCCCATCTACCCCATCCAGATACAGTTAGTTAGATAAGGATGCCAAATGATAGTCAGATTTCAAATATCATACCAATGAATTTGATATAAGAGAAAGATGGGAAACGGGAGAGAAAGAGGGAGAATTAGAAAGGGCAAGATTGAACAGGGAGATCTCATAGCCTAATTACAAACTATCCAACTCCCCTTACTTATAGACCTAAGAACTCATTAACTAACTCTCCCCTTTTATTACAGTTATAAATCAGAATTTATAGCATCAAATAGGTAGTTCAAGCAAGTTATATAGTTAATGACCAGTACAAAGAAGTATATTACACGCTAAACAGAAAACTGCCTAACTTAAACAAAAATTAGGCATGGCTATATAGGAAAACTACAAAAATAAAACGTTAGACAGAAACGCTAACTAAACCGCAAAGAACATTTTTAAAATGCCAATGTAAGTGTACAACTCTTCAACTTAATTTATACAGGTAAATGGTGCCCACCAACTCACCATAACCGGGAGTATGTTACATGCCCTAAATTCCATGCATTGCAGACATGATTCACTCCCGGCATCTACACATTATCCCAGAAATCTAAACGGAATGACCCACCATTACCAACCAATACCAGAGTATAATGGGCAACATATGTAAAATTAGCTTTAGTGTCCCCGTCAATAAGATTCTTTTGCAAAAACCGAAAATAGATTCGGACAAAGAGACAGATTCCTTTTGAGAAAAGAAGAAAATGCGCAAGTTCTTTTAAAAAAAAAATTTTTTTTTTTAAAAAGTACAGAAGGTGAACATTTCGAAATCGAACAACTCAATCGAATGAAGAGAGAGCAGAGTATAATTACTTCTTTATAAAGGTTTCAACCATAGCCTTCCTTTCCTCTTTCGAACGGCGAATCCTTGATTTTCTGACTTCAGACTCATTGCGCTTGGCAAGGGCAAAAGTTTGCCCCACCCAGGCACCCTTTACAGCATGCATTGTGCTAGCAGAATGCGAAAGAGCGCATACTATATGGATTAACTATGATAGACGCCCTAAACCCTAAACCCTGACAATATGGAGAGAGAACGTAGACGACGAGACTACCAGTGCAAGGGCCCTTTGGCGGCAAAGATTGCATTTTATGGGTAAGAAATGAAAAGGAAGGAAATGTAATGCCTCTCGTGCTGATTATGATAACTAGTTAATTAATTTAAAAAGATTAAGTAAATAAATTAAATTAGTTATTTATAATCCGTTCTAATTATAAGAACTAGTTAATTAATTTGAAAAGATTAAGTAAATAAGTTAAGTTAGTTATTTGTAATAAATATATTATATTTTTAAAATATTATTGCTAATCAAGTATACTGGCTACAACTATCATCATTAGAAAAACTATCTTAGAAAAAATATATAAATAAGAAAAAAAATAGATTAGAGTCTTATATTTAGGATCAAAATAAAAATCAATAAAATTTCTTATTAAAGAGCGGAAGGTATAATATTGTAAATGTGAAATGTCCAATGGAGAACGAGGTTGGTGATCTTGTGGACAATAGCATTTTCTTCTCAACAAGATCTTAAGAAGTCATTTAAATATTTAAATTCTTAAATAAAATTCAATTATACTCCTTTGATTATATTTCTAAGACAGAAAAATTAAAAACATATATCAATAAAAGTTACTCATAAATATGATTAAAGGAGTTTTGGCACACAAAAATGATTAGAGGAGTATTTTTTTTATGAAGTTTAAGCTTATCACATTTTGCTTCAAAAAAAACAATTAATACTACCTTTATTTTTTGATATAAAATCTAGTTTATCTATATTGAAAAGAAGAAATAAATCCACTCTTAAGAATCATTAAATTCTCGGTATATCACATAAGAATGAAATGGGAAAAAAAAATCAAATATTTTCATGCGGCAGAACAAAATATCTATCATTTTCCCTCACGAACACCGTATTTTAACTGTATGGCACTATGTATTATTTGATAACCTAATAAATCTTCAATTCTTAGCCCAAAAGGAATTTAAAAAAAATGAAGGAATTTCAATTTCAAGTATATTAAAAACTAGACAGACCTGGTCAACATGACAAAAACGAATACGAACGAGTACTCAAACCAACAAACGAAAACCATACCTCACCGGTGCCTAGGCATTGCCTTCCTGAAGAGCATAGTTGAAAGGGAGAATGGCAGACAACATCCTTTGCGGTTGTGACCATGTAGTGGTTAGCCTGTGCTTAGACAAGATTTCACACTCTTGAGCTGCTTTAATATTAGGTTTCTTTTTTTTTTGGTTGCTGAATAGGAAAAAAAATTGAATTCGTTATTGTAATCTTGTCATCTCGTCAAAAGGAAAACAGAAATCAATTGTTTGGTCCCAATAATTTACCTTTATCTTATCATGCGTGCGAGATTCTAATCTGCCCATCTTCTTGGATCATTCCCAAAAATCTTCACATATCCCCCCACAAGCTTAATCCGTTTTATACATATCAGACCAAACTCTCTCCTTCCTTAAACTACTCTTCTGATTCTTAATATAAGACTCATTTAACTAATTTGATTAGATTTAAAAAATTAGGTAAGTTAGTTAATTATAAGAAATATGACACGTTTTTTTTAAAATACCATAATCATCTTTCTTAATATTCTTAATATCCCATCTTCCTCTTCTACTTGATTATGGTTGAGGAAGTATCCATAGGAGTAATTTAGATAAAATTGATAAATATGATAAATTGGTCTTATATTTAGGACCAAAATCAACTCAATAATTAAGCCCTATATTAAAAACCGGGAGAGTATATTTATGCCATTCTTCCATTGCTTCCTTTGCCTCATCAACTTGTTTCTTCATCATTGCCATAACACCCAGCACCTTATTTTATCTACGGTGCCGTCATCTTGCTGAGATTGGTATTAAAGAAATGAAAATTTGCTAAAAAATATTCTCCATTGCAAAATATAAGAACCTAGGTGTAATTGAATATAAATTACGCAGCTGAATAAAAGTTGCACTTAAATTTTTGTGCAAATTTTAGGTAGCTTTGAGCAATAACTTAAAATAAAGGATTTTTCAACAATTTTCTCGGAAGCAACAAATCACCCAACACCCTGTCCTCACGACCTTCCCTCTTTTCCCATGCTGATACTGCCTCCTCTAGCACATTCCTTCCCCTCTTCCGGCTCGAGTGAGGACATCTGAGGATAACAACGGGGAAGAAAAATGTTCTCTATATTAAGAGTAACTTACCACCCGTTAGACTTCCATGCAACCTAAGATAAATTATATTCTTTTAGTCCTTAATGTAAGATATAATTAATTAATTTGAGTGAATTAAAAACTTTAATTAAATCAGTTATTATGACATTTTTTTCTTAGAATACCTTCATTATCTTCCTTGATTTTCTCTCCCTTTTCCTACCTGATTAGTGGAAATATCAATTGAGGTTAATTTTAAAAAAAAATTGATAAACAAATTAGATAAGTTTTATATACAAGACCAATATTAACTCTCAAATTAGGTCAAGAGGAGTAATTAAATTTTCCTTAAACAATCTCATATACAACTCAAATGTCTATGGTTAATAATATCTTTCTTAAGTAACACAACAAGCCATTACACAATAAAACCGACAATACCACGGGCCCAATTTGCTAGCCTACCAAAAATGGCATGCTTGGGTTGGCATGTTAAGGTGTGGGCTACTCGAGCTCGCACTGCTTTGAGCCCGCTTCACCTCAATTTTTTTTTTTTGGCAACTTCTTTTTTTAGCACTGTTTTTTTTTGGCAACTTGATTAGTAGATTATACAATATAGTTGAAGGATTTTGATCTTCAAATTCCACATTGACATCACCTCATTCATCTAATTGAATATATAATACACATATAAAAGATCTACCTAATTATTTTGGATTAAAAAATAGTCAAATTAATTATTTAGAAAAAATATGTGCTAATTTTTCTAAAATATCTTCTCAAATTATAAATTATTCCTCACATTATTTTATTATAACTCACTACTTAAATTTAAAACTGTAAATCCAATTTCAACATTTCAAACCGAGCTCAACCTATACAAATAATAATTTTTTTAAAAAAAGTATATTTAGGGGAGTCCTTGGTGGGTGAAACCTTTTGGCTCACTGCTACGGGCTGACTTATATCCCCACCGCCACCTTGTATTACTAGCTCTATTACACAGCATAATCTACATAAAATATCGGAGGACAAAGTTAAGCATATTCATAGCTTCTCGTCATAATTCCATGCCGATGCTAAACCAGACACGTTATTTTAATACTTACATCTCAAACTCACAAACACCTGACATGCGTACATACAGGTACATGTATACATTACAGTTTCAAAAGGACTAGCTACAAAATATATACACATGTCCATTCAAATATATGCTCCATGTTAGCATCTATTTACATTGATTTCTCCTCGCCAAATCCTAAAGCTTCCCCTGGACATTTATTGGAAACGAAGTGAGATAAAACTTCAACAAGTGTATGACCCAGTATATATACACAAAAATCAGAAATGCATGTAAATCAATAAACTAAATTTTTTCCCCAATCAAACCCGACAATTAAGGAATCACATGATGGAATTACCTTAAAAATAATGCACCTAATTGCACCTAAACACCTCACCAAGCCACTTATGTCCACCAGTTTTAATACCAGAAAACATAAATAGCTGGAGAATGGAAAAATGACGAGCAAACCAAGTTCTATGAAGTTCACCTATCATTTTGGCTTCATTCTCAGTACCATGCAAGAAGAGAAAAAGATGCAGAAGCCAAGCGTTAAACTTGCTCATCCCTCCAGCTGCAATTTTTGCGTGGCAATAATCGATGTCACGGAGGCAATAGTTATTAAAATCTACTAGGCTCCTTAGGTAGCAGCGACAAGATTAATAGAGTAAGAACAAAAGACTAACAGCAGCCAGCCAAATAAGAATCAGCTCAAATCTATCATATGCAGTAACAAATGTATTGACGTGATATGCGACAAGAGAATTTGCAAGCTAGAAGAGAAGGTCCAGCACAAAACACTGGATCTGAATGCCTCAGAGTCGTGAAGTTAATTTCACCCAGCTTCTGGGGTCGGCAATATGGGCCAAAGTAAAGTTATCTTCACTAGGGCTCTTTTTGGTGGCTCCATTTTCCTGCGAAGCCTTTGTGCAAAGGTAAGATAATGACTGCAACCATGAAACCAATATCGGTTTTCGTATTACATCGTCAGATTCAGCCACCTGTGAATATAACTCATTGAGAACCGTGTTTTGGGCCTCTCGTGGTAACTTGGTAATCAGCAGTGCTAACAACTTCATTAAGTCCACCAAGACCTAGGAAGCAGTAAAAGGCTGGATTAAATTAACTCAATGACATCACCCGATGAAGATGAGATCATGAAAATTTCCAGCATGGCCAATCCAAATCACTGAATTATGCAATAATTAATCTTAACAGGTCCATCTTGACTGCAGGTCCACATTACTTCATTTCATATTAAATGGGCAAAAAACAGATGTAAATTTTAATTGATGAAAACAAGATGAAGGTTTTAGCTCCCAACCGAATGCTCCCCACCCCCTCCCCAAAAAGAAAACAAAAAAGGCAACAGAAATTAGCCAATAACATACTTGTATGTCAACCAAAAAAACTATGTGCAAAAGTAAGTCCAGTAGTTTCTTGCAATGCTCTGTCTCCCCCTGCAACTTTTTCCACACATCAGCATCATTAGCAAGGACTTCAGCGCAGAGCCTATCTGCCTTCTCAACAAGATTGTAGATGCAATAAAATATAGAAGGACTTCCAGCAGGAAGATGTCGAACAATGCCTACAACTCCGGAAGCCATTCCCTCAAAAGGAGTTATGCCTGGATATCCCTGTATTCATGTTCCATAAACGATTAGAACCGTTTCCAAGTTATCAGTCTCAAATTTAAGACCTAAATTACAGTTGATTAAGATACCAATAAGGATCTTTCTATATAATAGAAAACAAGCTGCTCCTTCAATGATAATCCCTCATTCATTTCAGATTCTTCTCCCAGAGAAATAAATGCCATAAACAAAGAATGTGAGGCCCGAGCTACTTTTCCATTTGGGTGTTCCATATATCTAGTTTCACTTGAATAAGGAAGCAAATTTGCAGCAAATCATCATGAGACCACAGTACCAACATGAGTACAGAACGAAAACATACAGTAACAATATTTTGATGTAGGATACAAGAACATTGTTGGGGCTACCATGTTCCTGAATACATGGCTGGGCAAATGCTCAATACAAGTTGGAATGACTCGTAGATAAAACAAAATGCGAGCTGTTTGCACCTCATCCTTAGACCATATGTATTTGGTTTTCTGGTCCAGAGTAAAGTCTAGAAGACATGTTAAGCATCAGTAAAAACAAGATAATCAAAATGAATGAGGAAAACATATAATAGATCCAATTGAAGAGAGAAAATAAATTAGGTTTCTTAAAATGATAAATCACACCTGGACTATTTGTCAATTCAACATAAGAAGGCATGGACTTAACAAAAGATGTGCAAACATGCTCATTCTCCTTGACATTTGCAACTATCTTGCGAATCATTTCTACATACTCTGGCAAACGGACATGACGAAAATATTCCACACAGGAAAGTGATACTAATATCTTCAACGAGACATCCATTTGCATTTCTTGGGTGAACTTGGAGCTCAACTTATGCTTTGTGACAGCGAATGCAAAAACCACAATCATTAAGAAAGCAGATTCAGCAATTTTCCCCAAACCCTCAAGGTGTTTATCCTCCTTGCCTTTAAAAAAGAAAGCTACTTTCCTGTATCCACAGTACAAATCTTGACAGTATTTCCATATAAGATTTTCCACTACATCCTTATTTTCTTCATCTGCAGAGACATACTGATTGCAGAAGATCCCTGTTACAGCTCCAGCTTCCTTGAACAGGATACTATCTAGATGTTCTTTGATCTCAGTTAGCTTCAGTCCACCAGAAACTCTTGACAATTCAAGTGCAGACTTGCACATATAAGGCAATGGAAGTATTTCATTTAACAATGCCAAAGCAAGGCAAACAAAAAAAGAGGAATGTCCAGAAAATGAGCCAGTTCGAGGCAATGCTAATGAGACACACTGGAGAAAAAGTCTGTCTCTACGATCATCGCTCAAGTTTGACATATCAGGTCTCAACATCCTTGATGATAAATTGCTAGCTAAAGCTTCCATTGAAACAATTGCAGAAGTCCTCACTTCAGATATGTTATCAAATTTCATATTGCCTGACATAGAACTATTTGAAGCCCTCACAACTCCAGCCCCAGCCATGAAAACAGCAAATGAAGCATACTTTACCTTAAATTTCTGAAAAGCTTCTTGGCAAAACATGTGTATTTTATCCAAAAACCAGAAATTAACCAAGTTTGACATGACCCAATCAATCAAATAAAAAATCATCAATCCGTGAGAAATACTGCCTTGAGGCCCATTTTCTTTGCCCCAAATTTCAAATAATGAGTCCAGTATGGAAACATTATGAACTGTCACAGATGAAGACAAAGCATACCCAATTCCCGCCAGAACATCAGGCACAAGTTCTGTAAATGAGCCAAGCAATTGATACTCTTTTATCAGCAGTCTAGCCAGTAAGTCCAAGCACGTTGTCTTGGATCTTTCAGATGACGAGAGCACAAAGGAAATGCCACCTAGTAGAAGAATAACTTCAGAAAAGAAGAAAGGACCTTTTCTAGAATCAAATTGAACAGAGATGAGGCGAGAGAGGACCTCCACTACTGAATCAATGATAGATGAAGTAGGCTTCAAAGTTTTCCTCACCCATATGTATAGAAGCCTAAACATTAAAGGATAGGACTCATACGGAAGAGAATGATTTGGAGACGAAAGAATAGCAATAAGCAGCTTCGCCTGGGGGTCTGCAACATGGAGAGATGTTTGAGAATTGACAAGGATTTTAAGAGATTGTAGATGATGGGAACTAAAAGTCTCATATTGAAGGGAGTCCCTGAGGTCAGCCCATGCCTGAATAATGGCTCTAGCAGATGGGGAATGAGAGTTTCTAGGATTTACTTTGCTAGCAGCACCGCATTTGCTCCTTAGCCATTCCTCCAAAAAGAGGATTTCAAGTTGTTTTGACATGTTGTCAAATGCTAATACTGCAAAAGGAGTATTAAAATTAAGATGAAACAGCTATCAATTACTGTAGTCACATAGCTACAAATTCAGCTTTATAAATTTCATTTTTATAAAGTAAGCAAGCTAATTGAAAACTATGCAACAATGGTCAACCAACACTGACCAACCCATCAACAAACAAATTTTCAGCCATCACAGTTCGGGGGAAAAATAATAAACAAATTTTTAGAGCACACAACAATTCTTGAAAAATCAATTTAACTCGATATTCATTAATAATTAACAATTATTAATCAACAAACGGCAGATATGAGACCTCCCTAGTTAACTCTACATTGCCATGTGCACTAGTGCCATCATATTCTCAATACGTCTTTGCATTCCTAAACATAACTCAGAGATCGAATATAACGTATTTTAGACGAAGTTCCATTGCTTTTAAAATATCACGATCAGCACTTCAACTATCGTCCTCGCTCTTAGATTCAACCCCACACAAGGAAATTCCTAAAGATCATAGATCCAAACTTTTCTGGAGAACTAATAATGGAGAATCAACATACTTTTCTGTAAAGCAAGCAATAAGGAGGGTAGCAAATGAAATGGAAATTCATTGTAAGGATGATAGACAGTGGAACTAGAAAAACGAGACGAGGAAAGAGAGCTACCACAAGGATAGAAGCCTGGAACACGATGGGGGAGAAAGAAAAGCTGGTAGTTTCCGGCAGCAGCAACGTTTGGTCGACAATGGAAAGGAAAGAACAATTGCAAGGACGGAGACTAGTTTCCCGCAATTGAGGGAAACTGGTTTCGTCCCAAATTTGGCTGGAGACCTGCTCCCCAGGGAGAGTTTGTTGAAATGAAAAAAACAACCTTTGTTATCACCAGAAAGTGCAGGAAATTCTGGTATGATGCATCAACCATTTTGTGGCCTGGCGCGACTATTTGAAGAATCCGACGACTTGACTGCGCCAACACCAGCAACGGAGGGAACCACTGAACAATGCTCAACGCTCTTCTTCAATTCGTCTCCTCACTCTCGCAATGTTTATTTGAACTGAAAAATTTGTTTCTCAGAATCAATCTCTGCCTCCAAATATCATCACTGTTATCCCCAAATATCACTACTGTAAAAAAAAAAAAATCAGTCGGTGTTATCAACGTAAATCAAAAAATCGGCGAAAAGATTTGAGGAGGCAAAGAAAAAGTAGATTTGAGGGAGGATGAGAGAAGCTGCTGTAAGAACACCAACGTTGGACTTGGAGAAACATAGGTACCCAAAAGCCCATGAATTTGATTAAGGCAGAAATAAATAAATAAATAATAAAAGAACTTGAAATTATTAAATTTTAAATAAATTTTTTTTATAAAAATATGTTATTATTTGTAAGATAAGGATTATCAAAATCTATTACTCCGGTCCTTAATAAAAGACCCATTTAACTAATTTGATTTAGGTAAGTTAGTTAATTATAAGAAATGTGACACATTTTTCCTAAAATACCATAATCATCTTTCTTAATATCTCATCTTCCTCTTCTACTTGATTATGATTGAGGGAGTATCCATAAGGGTAATTTAGAGAAAATTAAAAAATATGATAAATGGGTCTTATATTTAGGACCAAAACTAACTCAACAATTGAGTTATATATTAAAGATCAGAGGAGTACAATAAAATAACAAAACGTGATTTAAAATTCAATAATTTTAAATTTCTTTATATAAAATTCTCCCAATAATCAATTCATCAATATCAAAAAATGGTAGTTTAAACATGTTTCAAATTGAAATTTCTTTTTTAGTTTTTCTATATTAAATAAGATTGCGAAGGAATATTAGATGTTAATTGTAGAGACAATTTAATAAAGGGAAAATTCTAGAAAAGGTCCTTGAATATATGAAATCCCAGATTGGGTCCTAGAATTTCGAAAATGACAGAAATGGTCAGTGATCCAATATGTCATTTGTGAAATTAAGACAAATTAACAATTTTGGCCCTGACTAAGTAAAAGTGAGTAGTTATTCTCTACACAAATCTAGTTAACACTTACACTGTTCTAATGATTACAAGATTAGTTGTAGTTAATAATAAAGTACCTGACTATGAAAAAGTGAGTAGTTATTCTCTACACGAATCTAGTTAATGCTTACATTGTTCTAGTGATTATAAAATTAGTTGTAGTTAATAACAAGACACCTGAATATGAAAAAGTGAGTAGTTATTCGCTGCATGAATCTAGGTAATGCCTAAACCCTTATAGTGATTCCTTAAATCATTGTAGTGAATGAATACAAATGAGGGCAAAGTTGTCAATTCCTCTTGATTTGCCAAATGACACATTGGGTCCTGACCCTTTCTGTCATTTTTGAAATTCCAGGACTCAATCTTGAATTTCTTATATTCGAAGGACCTTTTCTGGAATTTTCCCATTAATAAAGTAATTTTGAATTAAGTTATTTTTGTAGAAGCAAGAACGTACCCAAAACTCTTTTCTTTTCTTTTCTTTTTACCCAAAAGAATCAATTTTACTGGTGTAAAAAAAAATAGTAGGTATTACACACACAGGAAGCCAACAAAAATGCTCAAAAAAAAAAACTCTGTTAACAGGACAACCCAACAGTAACGCACAGAAATAACTTTATAAAAAAAATAAAAAATTAATTTTTTGATCCTTTAAATTTTAACTCATTTAAAACTCTATCTCTCAACTATGTTTCGATACAACTTAGTCTTTTAATTTTTGACTCATTTATAACTCAATCCTTAATCTTTTCGTATTTAATAATTTAATCCTTATTATATATAATTTATTCTTAGCTCTCAGATAATCAAGGACATGGCAAAAAAAAAATCTTTTAAAAAGGTACTTAAATAACTCAAATTTTTATTTAGATTATTAAATTTGTCAAACTCTTGATCAAGTCACGTGACGTAAAGAAGGATTTTAAAATTTTATGAAACAACTATAATACCTCTTTCATTAGAAACCAAGAGAGAAAAATTTTAAATTAACATGTTTCATTTCACACTTAACATGTCTCAATTTGAATAAAACTTGATCACAACATAACATTGGAAATTAATAAGTTCGATTATGTAGTTAACAAGTTTTAGTTCTAAATTAACAGTTTTATATTTTCAAAACACAGTTAGGATGAGTTTTTAAATAAAACTTTATCATAATATAATATTAAAAATTAACATATTCAATTTCACAGTGAACACATTTAAATTCTAAATTTACAATTTTTTGTCTGCATAACACATATGTAATAAGCATTTGAATAAACTTGATCACAATACAATCTTGAAAATCAACATATTCCATTTCATAGTTAAACAAATTTTAATTCTAAATTACTAACAATTTTTTGTCTCTATAACATATTTACAATATGTCTTTGAATAATATCATAATCTAACTTTGAAAATTAATATTTTTTTTACTTTGTAATTAATACGTTTCAATTCTAAATTAACAATTTTTCTATTGAGATGAAACTATCATGATTAAAGAAGAAAGATTTAATATAAAAACTAACTCATCATTACCTCCTTAATCGATTTTCCAAATTTGTGACGGCAGACGTCAAGTTTTCCTTACTTAGAGGAATGATAGAAATCATCATCTTTTCCAGGTTTCTAATGAAATGGGTATTAGAATCATTTCATAAAATTATTAAATCTCTCTTTAGTTATGTAATCTGATTAGAGTTTTGATAAATTTAACAACTCAAATATAGATTTGGGTTATTTAATTGTCTCATTTAAAGGATTAACCCCATTAAAAATTGTAAACCTGTCATCCAGCTCAGCTAATGCGTGTTTAATAAAAATTTTTAAAGGGGAAAAAAATTTTGGCGTTGCGTTCTGCGACTCGACCGTCTCGGTCCACCCGGCGGAAGTGAAACCGGCACCCAGCTCCTTTAAAAACTGTTTGAACTTGTCTATTTTGTTCGATGCTTTGTGATGGTGCGCCGCTTTGATGAGCATGGCCCACGAGCAAGGACGCGATTGGGGAGGCACTCCAAACGCAGCCACAAGACGCAGACGCGCAGTTGCCGATGCTAAAGGATTAAAATATCGCAAGAATCTAAGAAAGGAAAAAAATTGTAAAATAAATTTTAGAAGTTGTGATTTTTTATTTTAGAACTTATTATCTCCGCTCTTTAATATAAAATTTTATTTTATTTTTATTTTAGTTTTAAATATAAGACTCTAATTTATTTTGTCTCTTATATTTATATATTTTTTAGGGTATTCTTTCTAACAACCAACATACTTGATTAGTAAGGATATCTTAAGAAAAATAATACATATTTATTACAAATAACTAATTTAAATTTTTTTTCTTAATCTCTTCAAATTAGTCAACTAGCTCTTATAATTAGGATCGGAGGTAGTATCTGTTAAACTGCTTAGGTTATTATTAAGATTTTTTAATAATTACTTTTCTTTTTCTTTACGATTTGATTGTAATTCTCTTAAAATTCTTGTTTTTTTTTCCCCAACCCAATGGATTAAAATCTTAAATGCCTAGATGACTTCGCCAATTCTTGAAAAACTGAGCAACGGGGGCGTGTCATCACATGGGTCTCCACGGGTTGGAATAAACTTTCACGGTTTTCTTATTGCGTTGAGAACATCCAGAAAATGGAAGGGAGGGAGAAGCTGCCGGAGTTAGCGGTGAAGCCAGAGCAAGTGCCGGAGGAGTCCGGTTTTATAGTAGCTGAGTGCTTGTTTCATTTCTGCCGGACGGACGGAGACGGTCAAGTTCCAGAACTCAGCACCAGATGGTTTTTTTTTCCCCCTTTAAAAGATTTTATTAAATACGCATTAGCTGAGCTGGGTGACATGTTTACAATTTTTAATGGTGTTATTAAGTAATATTTTTTTTGCCATTTTGGATAATTATTTGAGAGCTAAAAATAAATTATATATAATAATGATTAAATTATTATATGTGAAAAGATTAAGCACTGAATTATAGGTAAATCAAAAATTCAGGAATTGAATTACATCAAATTATAGTTGAAAGATTGAGCTACAAATAAGTCAAAATTTAAAGGATCAAAAAATTAATCTTTCCAACAAAAAAATACGCGCACAGAACAAGCATCTGCGAAAATCCAGTGACTAATGAATTAATTAATGCCACTTCTCTCCTCAATTTATTATGTTTTTGTCCTTAATGTAAGTCCTATTTAACTAATTTAAGTAAATTAAAAATATTAATTAAATTAGTTAATATGTTTTTTTTTGTAAAATACTCTAAGTATCTTTCTTAATTTCCTCCCTTCCTCTCCTACTTGATTATTATTAAGGAAATAACAATTGTGCTAATTTAGAAAAAAATTGATAAACATATAAAATAAGTTTTATATATAGGATCAACATCAACTTCCTAGTTAACTTGTATATTAAGGACCCGAAGAATGTCTTATACTACCTCCAATTCTTAATATAAGATCTTATTTAATTTTTATTTTGGTCATAAATATAAGATTTTAATTCACTTTGTCTCTCATATTTATACATTTTTTCCCAAGATAGTCCTTCTAACAATAATAGTTCTAATTAATATATTTAATTAGTAAGAATATTTTAGGAAAGACAACACTTATTTATTACAAATAACTAATTTAACTTTTTTTTTTTAATTTTCTCAAATTAGTAAACTAACTCTTATAATCAAGACCAGAAATAATATATAAAATCACCCCAGGAGCCACCCACTCAGAAACATCAGCAAGCATGATATCGGTTAAAGGAGATGTTTTTTTGGTTCCAGCCATCCCTTAGGACACATCCGTAGTCACAGGTCTTTTTCTTTTTCCCACTCATCAAATTGTATAACTCTTCCCAATCAGTTTCCAAAGAGCCTGTTAACAGCTAATAATCCTTCCTTTAAAGCAAAGCAGGCTTTCCTTCCTAATTCACCCACCATATCTACATTATCATTTCTGCAAATCATTCCTGTACGGCCAAAACTTAAAGCGCTGATAAAATTAAAGCACCATCAACATTTATCTTCATCTTCCCTACCAAAGGCTCTGGCCACTGTAACAATCTTCCATTGTTCCTTGCCTCAGCTGAATCTGACTTCTCACCCCTCTGTTTGGCCTCAAAACATTCATAAACCAACTCCTGATTTTCTCTAATTACCCTTCGCCACCCACAATTTCCCCTTTAAACATCCATTCA